ACGGAGACTGGAGGCGTGGAGGTAGAGAACCCGCTCTCCTATCACAATGCAAGGAGGGGGAGGGGAAGGGGAGGGGGCGAAGGAGGGGAAGAAGGAGAAGGGGGGGGGGGAGTCAGGGGAAGGGGAGAGGTAGGGGGAAAGAAGAGGAAGAGGGAGAGGTAGGGGGAAAGAGGAGGAGGAGGGAGAGATGGAGGGGAAAGAGGAGGATAGGTATGAAGAAAGGAGAGAAGGATGAAGATAAGAAGAAGTGAATCGAAAAGGACGAAAAACAGGAGAACGAGGGGAAGCGGATGGAGTAGGAGAAAAGGAGGAAAAAGGGAGGGGTAAAGAGGTAGAGAAAGGAAGAGAATGGAGAAGGAGAAAGAAAAGAGAGAGAGAGAGGAGAGGAGGATGAGGAAAGGGAGAGGTGCTCTGCCACCTGGTCAGTATCACAAAGGAGAAGCAAGACAGGAAAGGAGAACAAGAACAAGAGGAAAGGGGAAATGAACATTGGGAGGCAAAGAGGCAATAAAGAAGAATAAGGAGATGGAAGGAGAGCTGCTGCAAGAGAAAAAAATGAAGTGTGGAAAATAAGGTGGAAGGGAAGAGGTTCCTGCGACGAACTTCTAGGTTTGCTCTCTCTCTCGTTTGGCTACCCCCCCCCCTCTCTCTCTCTCTGTCTTTCTTTATCTTTCCCTCTCTCGCTCTCTCTCTCTGTCTTTCTTTATCTTTCCCTCATTCTCTCTCTCTCTGTCTTTCTTTGTCTTTCCCTCTCTCTCTCTCTCTCTCTCTGTCTTTCTTTATCTTTCCCTCTCTCTCTCTCTGTCTTTCTTTATCTCTCTCTCTCTCTCTCTCTCTCTCTCTCTCTCTCTCTCTCTCTCTCTCTCTGTCTGTCTTTCTTTATCTTTCCCTCTCTCTCTCTCTCTCTCTCTCTCTCTCTCTCTCTCTCTCTCTCTCTCTCTCTCTCTCTCTCTCTCTCTCTCTCTCTCTCTGTCTTTCTTTATCCCCCCCCCTCTCTCTCTCTCTCTCTCTCTCTCTCTCTCTCTCTCTCTCTCTCTCTCTCTCTCTCTCTCTCTCTCTCTCTCTCTCTCTCTCTCTCTCTCTCTCTCTTTCTTTATCCCCCCCCCCTCTCTCTCTCTCTCTCTCTCTCTCTCTCTCTCTCTCTCTCTCTAATTTCTCCCTCACCTACGCTTTCATTCTCCCCTTTCCTTTCTCCCCTTTCTCCCTTCGTAAAAGGGTTAAGATAACAGTTTCCTCCGTAAAAGAGATTGTTGCTCTCGTTGCAGCGCATGGGTGTCCTACCGGCTTGTTGACATTACACGAACGCCCACCATCTGCATCCGGATTCTTCGGGAAATAGATTTATGCAGTAATAATATTATAACAATAGATATATAAAAATAACTGCGTAAGGTAAGGGATTTGGTGTACTATAAGAACTAATGGGTCGTGTGCTACGTAAATGCAAGGTGGATGGCTAGTTAATTATTTTTTTCCTATAATTGCAACGCGAGGAATGTGTAGTTAATCTCTGGGTTATCTGTTAGTGAATAATCCTTTATGACAAAACAATAGGAAAGAAAAAGAAATAAATTAAAAAAGGTAATTAGAGAGAGAGAAATAAAGAAGAAATAAGAAAAAAAGAAACGAAAAAGGGTATTTAGAGAAAAGAAGAAGAAGAAGAAGAAGAAGAAGAAAACAATCTTTTTTTTTTTTTTTTTTTTTTTTTGGAGAATTTTGAGAAAATGCAAACTAGAAAATTACGTTGAGAACCGAAAAGCTGAGGCGCGAGGCAGGATTTCTTCTCATTTTAAGATTTTCTTTTTTTTTTCGCTGCTCTTCGTACGTGTGATGTTTGACCGGACGAAGCTTTGTGACTGCGAACGAAAAGGAATGAAGCAAAAGATACACGTGAAAATGCTTTTGCTTGTTGTTGTCCATTTGTATATAATAGGTCTCTATACATTACACGCATGTACACAAAAGCATACATACACACACATGCACTCTCTCGGTCACATACACATATACGCACACACAAACACACACACACACGCACACACACACACACACACACACACACACACACACACACACACACACACACACACACACACACACACACACACACACACACACACACACACACACACACACACACACACACACAGAGGGAGAGAGAGAGACAGATAGATACATAGAGAGATAGACAGACAGGCATATATATATATATATATATATATATATATATATATATATATATATATATATATATATATATATATATAAAGAGAGAAGAGAGAGAGAGAGAGAGAGAGAGAGAGAGAGAGAGAGAGAGAGAGAGAGAGAGAGAGAGAGAGAGAGAGAGAGAGAGAGAGAGAGACGGACAGACAGACAAACAAACAGAGAAAACGAGATGGGCAGAGATACAGACAAGATATATATATAGATAGATAGATAGATAGAGAAAGAAACAAACAGACAGAGAAAACGAGAAGGGCAGAGAGACAAAGAAGATAGA